TGCTGACTGATTAGACTGTGATTAAAATTGGTGATTCAAATCATTACGATGACAGTTTTGGGGGTTAAGAACTGGTGAATAAAATCAATATGTCCTCTGAGAGGTCCTGCTGGCTTCAGTGAGTATTTTGTTCTGGTGAGTATTCACAAAAGTGATTCCCTGAACCCAGTGAGGCCATTCAGATAAGCAATGATTTCAGGTCACCCTAAGCTGTTGTTTTTGAACTTTATCTCGCTTTTGATGTCTAAAAACAATTGTATTGACTTTGTATTGATAAAACCAATTAACCAAAAAAGTTAGCAGGTACAGATGATGTCCCCATTAATAAGCAAAATCTAAATAAGAATTTGCTACAGACTTCAGCATCAGCAAAACTGGGCTTCATTGTAGTTGTTTCTTGGTTGTCTTTTACTTTGAATAGCAGATCAAATGATTGCTTCCTTTAACTCCAAAAGTAAAGAGAAGGAAATTTTTGATGGTGGAAGCCTTCACTGAAAAAATATTCACATTATTACTCAGTGGAGAGGGGAACTGAAAGAATGCAGTGTGTTAGCATCACTGGGTAATTGCAGTACATGGTTAGGTAGGCAACATGCATTGCAGTCTGTTGTATAATTAAAGATGGAAGAACACTGGATGTTTGCAGTTAGAATCATTCAAAAAATTTTGGAGAAGTGCTGGAACTCTGGAAATTGTGAAGCAGAATTCATAAAGTGTGACTGCCTTTATTGTCATTAAATACCCCAAAAGATCATATCAATTTCACTGCTCAGAAACTGAGAGTTGCTGAAATGCTTTCTTAGTGTATTGGATTGATACTCCTGGACATTGAAAACCTGATAACTGCAAGCAGGGCAGTACAAGCTCCTATAAATTCCCCTTCTAGCATTCTTCCAGTGCAGCCTTGTGGATCAGTACCCCTCTCAATGAAAAAGAGAATTGTATTCCCTTTGTGTTCAGCTTGGCCCTTTGCTCCTTTGATATGACTGTAAACAGCAGACTATTATGTCCAGTTTATTAAAACTACAAAACAGAGCACTGAAAACCATCAGACAGTTAACAGCTATTGATTATTATTGACCTGGGTCCTACCAGCCACTGATCTGTGTAGTTAACCCCTGCCCCTAAACAAATCCTACTGATTACAACAAGGCTTCACACGGAGAAAAAATGTTGCTTCTGCAACTTTTATTTGTATATGAAACAATGACTTAGAAAAGGAACGCTGTACACCTGTTACCCTGGTGACCCATGAAGTCACCAAGATTTAGGGCCTTAATTTGAAGCATCTATACCATTTTTACAGGAACAGCCCCATCGGGAGTCTCCTATCTTTAATAAATAATGAACCAGTAGATCACATTGTTTGTTTAATTTAGTACTGAATAATATAATCTTTGCTATTTTAGCACTTGAACTTTCCTCAATGCTTGTGTTGGGCACTTGCAAAACACATTTTTTGAACCTTAGTAAAACTGTAGTGAAATACTAGAGCTGTAATGGAACTTCCCTTCAGAAAGGAGAATAACATGAAATATGAAGGGTATAACATACAAAACCCCAAAACATGACATGAACATTTTAAACAATATCCAAATAAGTCCTCAACATTTAAGGCAAAGACTAATTCTCATAACCAAACTGAAAAAGTACCAGTGCTGTTTACTTGGCCCACAACACACCACTAGAACTGAGATGTCACATGTTGTGCATTTCTAATAGGATCATATCGTCAAGCAGCTTTTTCACTACAAAACCTTTTAGCTGGTTCAATAGTAGGTGGTATTGTTGAGCCATACCTTGCCTGAGGTTGAACTAGCTGGTGAAATTGGAAAGGCTCTTATTTTTCCTACTCTTCTGCTCCACAGGTTTATGACATTACTAAGTCAATGCCACCTTAGCTTGGGAACATCTTGAAGGATTGTCTCTGCTACTGTTCACAGAGTATCACCAAGTAATAGCAGCAAGAAAATTATAAGGATCATTGCAGTTCCTGACACCCACCTACCAGGGGTGGTTTAGCAGCCGTGAAAATCCACAAGATTTTCTATACATTTTCCTCCTTCTTGAGGATGCTTTGAGCAGTACCATGGGCTTGCAAGCTGCAGCCAGAGGGTGACAACACTGCTACTTGTATTTACTCTGAGTGTATTTTCTTCATAATTCTAAGACAAGAAACTCTATTTCAAAGACCTTCTATTTCTGTAGTGCTCATAGATCACTCTGGATTGTTACACTGAATTTGTTTTACTGGAAAAAAACACTTTCTTGTAAGGCATGGAGGTTTCTCAACTAAATGCTAAATTAAGGCCTGTCTAGGTACCACAGCCTACGTTTTTAAACCATCAGAAGGAAAAAAAGTTCAAAATATAGTCTTCTGATCATTTGGCAGCTTTAGGTTTCTGGTACTGAAACCTCACTGTAAGGCTAAAAACATCGACTGTTTTTAGCAAGTCAAGCACTTTGATTTGACAGAGTTCAAATCAATAATAACAAAGAACACATCAGAGTAAATTGGTAAAATCACATTGAAACACTGTATAGGATTCCTTTTCAAAAACAGCGTGAAACATTTATTTATATGAGTTGATGACACTTCCCTGGTCTACAATCCATATTTCAGCAAATAAGTGGATTTTTTTTTATGTTCTGGCAATGGTTAACATCCAAGCAGCCCTTCAAAAATGTTAATTAATCAAAAGCTGTATATTAAGCTGAAAATGCGCTATTTTACAGAGCAAAAGCTTAAAGAAAAGCTATTAGTAAGTACTTGAAAGCTGATGAAGTTGGTTTAGTGCAAATGAACACAGAATTTGACTGGGACCTGTAAAAATACCAGGCTGAGGAAACAAAGCAATTGGTAGCAAAGCAGAAGTTAAAGAACGGGAGATGCTAGCTCTATACTTAGTCCTCCAGCTAGTTCTCTACATAAAATAAAGTGTTCTTGTAGATGCTTTTCTTATTACCATGTTTTCCATTAACAATTTTGGATCACATTTAATTCTATTCAAAACTTTACCATCTTCATTGATGATATAGTTCCCTCATCATCTTTAGAGAGCTGTTTGAGTGCAGCTACTTTAGATGAATTCACCACAAGCTCAGCATTCAGCTCCCTGCATTTCTCCATGAGACGCTTTTCATTTTCATGAGACTTCTTCATAACAGCATGGAGCTTCTCATATTCTATTTGGAATTTTTCCAGGGTTTTCTCTCCCTTAAGTAGATTGATGACTTCTTGGAAGTCTTTTTCCAGTGCTTCAAATGCACTTTCTTCTAGATACGGTGTGACAGATTTTGCCTGAATAAAATGAGATAGACAATCAACAAACAGGAGGAATTCAACATCTCACTTATAACCCCAGAATATAAAAAAGCAATATACCAAGTGTGTAACAGCTACTAAGAAATCATGACAAAATTTTCTGAAATAACAGTTGTCTTGCTAGCATATGATGTGCACATTGCAGGCTATTTTTCAAACAGATTTTCCCCGATTTTACTAAAATAACTTGTGCTTTAATAGTCAGAGTTCCTGTAATTGAGTACCACAAGAAAGGTACTTTAAAGATAGGTCTATAAAATATCATCATTATGATAGTGTTTAAATAATACATCAAATATTCAGGAAGCCCCGTATTTAAGCCTCAATTCTTCCCAGTTCACTAAAGTCTAATTAGTTTATGCTTTCTACGCAGATAGTGCCAGCAACTCACTTGCAGATAAGCATGTCTGAAAGCTCCAGTAATGCCAATGCAAGACAATCCTTCCTCTGCAGGAAATGCTAGTGCTCAACTTTTCACAGGGGACGTTTTTGATCTGGCTCAGTTCTGACACCAAATTTTGCCAGCTTAGTTGCTGGACACGAAATTCCACCAATATTTTTCACAACAGTTTAAAATCAGCCTCCATTATAGCCTTCAGCAGAACACAATCATACCAAGAGGAGGCAGCATGGCCACTTGTCGGGAGTTAGCTTGATCTGCTAAGCAGCAAGATAAATCAGCCCACAGGATACTTCATGCTGTCACAGATACATTGCTACCACTACTCCAGCTTGCTCAAAACTGACTCTATGCTGCAATCTGAAGTCTAGATATAGCCTTATAATCACATCTCAGAGGTGTACTCACTTGGATAAGAACACGGCTCTGCTGTTAGCACCAGCCACGCACGTATGGCAAGCCCTCCTCGTGGAGGAGAGGCAGTGAGAGGCACAGCTCCCATAATCTTAAAAATCTGCCCTCATATCTCCCTCTCCAAACCAATGGATTGCTATTTCAAAAATGGTTCAGACCCCTACTCACCATTTGAACATAAACAGTTTAAAGGACAGAATTTTCAAAATCCTAAAAAAAAAATTTCTGAGAGCAAAATGACACATTTAATTTGTTTCATTGTTTTTGGTGGGGGGAGTACATAAGTTCACGCTACCTGGAAAACCTGAAATTAAAAGAGTAGAAACAGACCCTTATAACTTGAAGGAAAGGTCAGGCCTCACGACATGTCAAGGCAGAGGCACCAGCTCCAAATCCGCACTCCTTGTCGAGGGTCTGATTTGAGGGTTTTTTTCTGTGTCAGAAACTTCAATGGGAAAACCGCAAAGGCAACTTGGGTATTAAAACCCACGCTGCTGTTGGCGTGGAAGGGCAGTCTGTGCGGTATGGCCAAAGTTTGGTGCACAACCTTTTCAAACCTGCTCTGGCACTCATGGCAACAAATTTGGGTTTCTTCTTATTTCATCCTCCTTTCCCAACATCAAACCTTAAGTTTTCATCTCATTTACATTTGTGATCATAAATAGAGTTAAAAGAAGAGCAGTAACAGCATGGGGGCTGGGGGGTGGGGTGGGGTCACACCCACAATCTTAAAAGTAGCAGGTGTTCCTAAAATCTAAGTCTTAGTACTGCCTATGTACAAGTAGCCTAATTGCTCCTACTTTCAACACAGGAAATAACTGAGCTCTGCTCACAAAAGTAACTAGATACATAAATATGGTATCACAGAATCACAGCATGATCAGAGTTGGAAGAGACCTCTGGAGATCATCTATTCCAACCCCCCTGCCAAAGCAGGTTCACCTACAGCAGGTTGCACAGGAACACTTCCAAGTGGGTGTTGAAGATCTCCAGAGAAGGAGACTCCACAACCGCTCTGGGTAGCCTGTTCCAGTGCTCTGCCACCCTCAAAGTACAGAAGTTCTTCC